TGGGTAGGTGTGTAAATACACAACACAGGTGATATATGTATATAGAGGAACCGTGTGTCTGTTGTATGTATGTGACCAGTAGTCACACACACAGAACTGCTATCTTTACATTTTTATAAGCCTGAAATGCTGTTACTTCTCCTTGGTCTGAGGGTCATTTACTGAGGTTTTTGTGGCGACGCGGTTGCACGAACACCTCGGTGCCGTTGGTGCTGCTGCTCCAGAAATGGGCGCTGCTCCTGAATGTCGCTGGTGCCCGTGCAGAAAGCTGCTCACTTTTGTATCTTTATATATTTTTATTAATATTTGCAGGTGTGGGGGTAGCGGAGAGCAGAACTGGGAGCTGTGGCTGAGCGCCTGGTGTGGGGTGGGCTCGGGATGTGCAGCCCCAGCAACACCGGCCCCTGTGCCATCCCTCAATGGCTTTCCTGGGAGCTCCCGATTTTGGGACCTTTCTCCTTCCCGGTGTCCCAGCAGCTCCAATGGGAGCGGTGGTGGCTGTGCCGCTCTGGGGAGCAGCTCCCAAGGGGGTCATTAAATTGTTCTCGTGTGGTGAAGGAACTGCTGCTCAGCTGGGTTGGTTTATGGGGAAGGTGAAGCTCAGTCCCATTCCTCTTCACTCTTACAAAGGCATCTTTAATTTATTCTTTCTTAACATTATCTAGGAAACTCTCTCCTTGAAAGCTGCTCGTGGTTTCTGGCTGTGAGGAGCCCTGCCCCGACTTGTCCTGATTTCTTAGGTTGTGTGAGGAATTGAACTCTCTAAAGAAACCCAGACTGTAAAGGCAGCAGCACGGTGCGGGTGTTCCCCTGCGATTGAGGTGAGGTGGACGGGCAGGCGTTACTGTCCTGAGCATCTCTGCCAAACCGGGCGCTGTTCGTGTTCCCTCTCCTTGAGCCACCCCCCCACTGCAGCCTTATCCCCACCATTTACAGATTCATCATTTTTGCTGGTCCAGTTCATGAAATCCTCTCCTCCCATTGAGGTGTGAGGGGTCCCACGATTTCCCTGCTCCCTGGGGGATGCTCCCTTTGCAAGGGCTTGGTTCAGACTCCAAAACCCCAACACCAGCCCCCTGTGAAACATCCCCGTTGTGTCCCGGGGCTCAGAACAGCGAAGGGTCCCGAGTTCAGATCACGGCCATCACCTCAGCCCTGGATCTGCCCCTGGGAGCTGGGAGGGCCTGGGGCAGGTGGGACCCCAGGCAGGGCCGTCCTGGGGGTTGGGCTAACAGCGCTGAGCTTTCCTCCCAAGCTTTACCCTGATCCTGTGGGTGCTGCACACCCAGACCCACTCCCAGCATCCTTCCTTAGACCTCCACAGCATTCCTTATTTTTAATTCTGGACACAAAATATTTCCATTTGCTCCCATTACTGAGTAAGCTCCAACCCGACCTCCCCAGCAGGGCAGTTTTCTGCCCGTCCCGAGCCGCGCCGTGCGTGGTTTGTGCCTTTCTGCCATGCGTCCCCGCGCCGAGAGCGGCACCCGGCGTTCCTGTGCGTGTCTGTGCGTTGGCTTTCGTAGTTGGGGTTCTCCAAGCACTGATTCCCGGTGTTTTCAGTTTGTTCCATGAGGGGATATTTCATTTGCATCTATGTTTTTAGCTATCCTGTGATAACTTGTTGAATATTAAAAAATAAAAATATTTTGCTTCTATTGGGACATTTGTATACTCGCAACTATATTTCTGTAAACAGCTGCAGTCAAGAATAAAACGATGAAAGTTTTCATTTTGCAGTGTAAAGTCTTGTTGTGGTTTTTTTCGAGGGCCTCTTCTCTCTCTTTCTGCTGGGAGAAAACTCCACTGTCCACTCCCCAGGGCAGATCCACCCCGCAGGGGTCACATCCACCCTGGATGGGTCAGGAAACACAGGGCTGGCCGGAGCTTTGCGTAAGAAAAGGCTGCTTTAAAGCCTACTGCAGTGTTTCTTTCCCATTTTGGGGTGTTTAGCCCCAGGTAACCCTCTGCGCTGCACCCCTTTCCTACCCCAGCCTGTGAATTACAGAGCCTGCAATGGAACTGCCCGCAAAGTGGGGCTCTGTCTCCCCCCAGGCCCTGAGCAGACTGGGATGAACTGGCACAGCCCTCCCTTTTCTGCAGCTTTGGGGATGCAGAGGCTCAGATGCGTTCCCCATCCTGCTGCCCCCCTGCAGCCGGGGTCAGTGATGATGTAATTTTGAAGAATTACAGCAGGGGTAAGAAGAAAACACCACAAACTTCCCCCAGTGAGCAGAGCAGAACGCTTTACTGTGCCACGTTTATCAGGGTGATTACAAAGGGTTTCACCCACTGGCCGGGGTGGCATTTGCCCCCTCCAGAGCCGCCGGCCGGGGGCGTTTTTGCCCCCTCCAGAGCCGCCAGCCCCGCTCTCGGTGGTGCTGTGGGGTGGAACACCTCGAGAAACCCTCCTCAGCTTCCCAGGGCCCCTAGGAAGGCACCACAGCAGCTGCAGAAACAGGACCAAGCTGCGGGTTTGTGTTTATTGGCAGCGCAGCCACTGCCTGGGGGCCAAGCAGGGAAACCCCAACCTCCCCAGCTCCCCCTGTCCTGCCAGGCCACCCCCGCTCGCTGCCCCCTCTTCAGGGCTGGGAGAGGCCTCGTCTCCCCAGAGCCGTGGGGCAGCAGGGGCCAGCCCAGCTGCAGGGGGCCCTGTCCTCCCCTTCACCTCCTCTTCACAAACTTCTTCGTGACGGCGTTGGGGTTCAGGCGCCTCCTGCCCGCGCCCAGGGCGGCGTCGCGGATCTGCAGGTTGGCAGCGCGGCTGTAGACATCGTTTTCCACGAAGGGCGAGACCCCCGCGATGTAATCGGGGTCGAAGACGTTGGTCTTCTGCCTGGCCTTGCGGGACAGGCGCTGCTGTGGGAAGGGCTGGTCCTCCACCAGCTGGGGGTTGTTGGCGTGCTTACCCCCTTTGGGGGCTGGCAGCGGGTACTGCCGAGAGAAAACAGGTGGTTAAATGGGTTTTACTGCTATAAATTGGGGAGTTTGCTACGTACGGCCCTTCTATGGCTGCCATCCCATCGTTCTACTCCTGAGACTTACTCCCCAACCACACCAGCTGTGGACCTTATATTAATACCATCGCTAATGTTGCTTTTTATTATTCTATTAAATCTCTTTATATTTTAACCCACAGGTCACTTTTCGTTTTCCCAATTTCCCCCGTAGGTAAGGAGAGGAACAACTGCCCGACCCCCAGCACTCACCCTGAGCCCTCGGGGGTTCAGCACCTTGGGGTTGCGGGAGAAATGCATGTGCAGGGTCCCGTCGTCGCTGACGCTCACAGCAACCTTCTTCAGGGTCTTGTTACCACAGTGGGGACAGAAAACCTTGGTCATGTCCGACGTGGTCCTGTGGGACGGGGACAGAGGGGGTTACAGCACTGCCCCTCCCAGCCATGGCCAGCACTGCTCTGCTGGGCCCTCAGCTCAAGGACAGGAACTGCTTGAAAGAGTCCAGCAGGGCCACAGAGATGATGGAGGGAGTGGAGCATCTCCTGCTGAGGAGCGGCTGAGGGAGCTGGGGCTCTTGAGCTTGGAGCAGAGGAGACTGAGGGGTGCCCTCATTCCTGGGGATCCATTGGGAAAGGGCAGTGTCAGGAGGAAGGAGCCAGGCTCTGCTCTGGGATGCCCAATGCCAGGACAAGGGGCAATGGTCCCAAGCTGGAGCACAGGAGGTTCAAGCTGAAGATGAGGCCAAAGTTTGTCAGTGTGAGGGTGGCAGAGCATGGCCCAGGCTGCCCAGAGAGGTTGTGGAGTCTCCTTGTGTGGAGACACCCAAAGCCCTGGCCGTGTTCCTGTGTGACTGCTCTGGTGATCCTGCTGTGGCAGGGGTTGCACTGGGGGAGCTTTCCAGGTCCCTTCCAACTCCTGACATCTGGGATTCTCAGCAAAGCTCACCTGAAGCAGCCGTGGCAGCGCCGGATGTAGCTCCTGGCCTGGCGGATCAGCCGGCCGTTCACCGCCAGCACATGCAGGCCCATCTGCAGCAGCACGTTCTGCAGTGAGGAAGGAGAAACCGGGAACGCTGTGAGCCGGGACCACCGGGAGCTTTAACCAGGGTCTGGTGGCCCAGGCAGCGAGAGGCGGACGCCAATGGGCTCTGCAAGGGCCTCTGCTATGGACAACACCGGCTGGTTTTAGATAAAAAGAGCTGCCATGAAGATGGTCTTGTCTCGGGGTGTTGGTTTAACCAGCCTGCAGGTCCCAGTACTTTGGGAATCCTCCCCTCAGCCCACCCTGCCAGCCCTGTGTGGGCAGGGGAGGTTCAGCACCCACATGGCATCGGCCCCAGGGCCAGTCCCGTGCGGGGCAGCAGCCAGCACCCACCTGCATGGCAAAGTCTGTGGTGACGCAGCCGACCTGGACGCCAGCGGGAGCGGTGTCGCAGCACCCCATGTCCTGCTGGGCCTGCTTCAGGTTGCTGGGTGTGATCCAGCCCTCGTCGTCGCTCTCCTCCTTGTCCTCCTCTTCCTCAGCACAGAGCTCTGGTGCTCCTCAGTGGTCTTGGGGCTCACAGAGATGCCCTGAGCTTTCTGGGGTGGAGTAAAGTCGGCTACAGCACACACCACAACCCCCCCAAGGGGCAGGGGCCGTGGGGCTCACCAGCAGCTCCTGCAGCTCCTCCTCGATGCTGGGCAGGGGCGCTCGCCAGTACAGGAAGGAGCCAAACTCATCGCTCTCAGACGAGGCCGTGCTCCTCTCAGGGGTGGGCGGACGCTGTCCCTTCCCCGGGTGCCTGTGCTGGGAGGGAGGACACAAAGAAGGGTCCCTCAGCCGCTGCTGCCCGTGGGCTCTGCAGGGCTGTGCCCCTGTCCCCAGCGTCGCACCCTGGGGCGCTGCATCCCCGTCCCTTACCTTGCTGGGCAGGTGGAAGCCGGCGAGGTGCAGGGGGGCCTCAGGGTGCTGTGGGGTGGAGCTGAGCCATACCTGGGGAGCAGCACAGGCAAGGGGGTGGTTGGCGGAGCACCCCAGGGGTGACGCCTCATCTGGGGGGACCGGGCCCT